CGGTGAGGGATTATAGCATCTGCCTAACTGCTGTGTGTGTGTGCCCCAGTTCGAGAGGTCCCCTTGCCTTATTTCTACTGGTGACTATTGTGACCAGAACTGAAAGTGATGGCAAATCCATCATTTGAGAATTGTCACCAGAACAGGATAGAGGGGGGGGATCTTCCGATGGAGACACCTGTTTTGCTAACAACCCATTGAAGAGGGCAAATCCTTTAATTTGGATAGACTTTATTTCTTGTTGGGTCTTCAGGACATGTGAAGGGAAATCTTCCCAATGGAACACCTAAACCTGGCAGGACTTTTATCCATTTCTGATTTCAGCCTTTCTCAAGCAGGATACCATGGAACCACCCTAGGGGGTCCTCTTGAGGCTGCTAGCATTTCTTTGAGCAGTGAGCATTGGCAAATTGATCTCCTACCAACCATGACCACCAACACAATGGGGCACATCTACATTGACCACTAATGTTGTAGGGCGGGGACCTACATTTTTACTCCATTTATTTTCTTTTGCTGTTCATTTAATTGCACAATTATTACTTAGAACGACGTCAAGTAGAGCAGGAGGGTGTAAAAAAATGATCTCAAATATGAGTGAAGTTTGCCATATCTGTCCTTCTTCTGCTGTAACATTCTACAAATTAATGATCACATTAATGTGCCGCGAGCTGGAGGTCTAAATATTTTTAGAAGTGGGTCCTTGAGACCTAAAAAATATTTGAAGGGTTTCCTCAGGGTTTTTGGCTAGAAAGTTGGGGAATAAGGTGAAATATTTCTCTTCCTCAATTCCTCAGGCTTCCTTCTCTCTGAATTGCCTCTCCTCTGTAGCCATAGCTCTTCACTGGTTGACCAGTCACAGCTCTCCAACATGACCACCTACAATGCAGAACCAGGGGTCCTGCAATGTACGTGAGGACTTTGGGGGCCCTCCCACATTCCGGAGCATTGGGGAGTAGAGATCTTCTGGGGTCGAGGGGAATAAAGTTAGTATTGTGCTTATTATTATCCCCCGTAGATGATCATTTAACCCTTGAAGGGGGGAGGGGGCGCATTGTAAGGTACAATTTTAATGATACCCAGACTTCAGCTTCAAAGCTCATGATGAGGCCTACAAACTGGTGGGGTCAACAGGTAAATTTAAAGTATAATATATGTACTTTTTAACAATTCCGATCTTGACTGGAATTCCAGTGGCTCAACAGGAACAACCACGTAGCCAAGTGCATCTCTTGCTCGGGCTTGGTCAGCTTGAGGACCACAAGTTTTGATTTAGCTTCTCTGTCATGGAACCTGTACTTGGGGAGAATTTACAGTCTGACCTCTACATTTCCCCCCCTCGAGCTACAAATGTTATACGGAAACTTAAGTGTTTGTTTCTTGTTTTGCAGGCGGCTAATGACACTTAATGCCTGCGCTCCTATGAAGCTGGATGTTCATTACCACCGAAAACAGGTGAGCTCCCGAAGTTTGCTGTATAGACTTGTCGAGTGATGGAAATTCTTCCAAGACCCGTAACAGGGGGGGAAAATTTAGGTCGTGGATGGAGTGGACGTGTGAGAGCACATTCAGATCTTTGTTAAGTGCTGGAAATGTTACTGCTGGGAAGTAATATTCAGGCAGGGGTAGCCTAGAGCTCTGTACTCCGTGTTAACAGCTGGAGGCAAGCCGTGTCCAGTTCTTCTACGCAAAAAAGAAAGTGTTCACTATGCACACACTTGAACCAGCGCCATGGCTTCTTGGCTCAAGGCTCAAATATTTATAGGAAATTGTGTCACAGAGTATGCTTTTTTTTTTTCTTTCTCCAGAATGAAGAATCTGATGAAGATGACCAGTGTGCGATTAGTGACCGATGGACCTTCCAGAGGGACCATGGTCGCTGGTCTCGTCTGGAGTCCGTGGAGCTCCTTTCTCCGGACTTTAATGGATCGCCTACGATGAAGAGCACGTCGAGCAGGGACAGCATATTGACTGACCTCAGCACGGAACTGGAGGCCACCTCCCTGCGAAGCTTAGGAAGCAGCCGGGGAGCTATGGACGTAGCAGTCACTCCCTCGTCGGAGCTTTGCTCTTCGGATAGTTCTCCAGCCACCACCAAGCCGTGCAGGAGTCTTAGCGACCAATCTCTAGCTTACCACCGATGTGGTTCGAAGGAAAAATCCAAGAAAAGGAAATCGAAGGGCTTTTTAAAGAGGATGGAGTCCTTGCGGAGGAGAGAGAAAGATAAAAATAAAGACCAAACGTCCTTAGTTTCAAATGACCTCGAATGTTCTGGGACGGTTGATCTACATTGCCGGGGACGGTATGACGACAACGGGGACATTCCTGCATATGACAAAGAATTCCTTCATCCTGGCTATAGGACTAAATTTTTATCCAGTGGCAGTAATAGAAAGCCACACATTGAAAGCCATTGTAGGGGGGTCTATTTGGAAGATTTTGACATGGCGGGAAAGAATGACATAAGGCATAGACTGTGTCAAAAGTCAGATCATCTCGTATGCATCCCTGTGGACCATAAGCCGGGCACTTTCCCCAGGTCTCTTTCAATCGAAAGCTTGTGCCCAACATCCCAAATACCCTTGGAGAGTTGGCAAATGGGGGGCAGCAAATCCTTAGGACATTCAGTGAGTAGCAGTATGGACTCTCACGGACTGGAGGGCAGGCCAAGGAGAGGCTCATATAGTTCTATAGGAAGCCGCTCGAGCATCTATGACAACGTCCCTGCTTCGCTAGCCGCCAATGGGGATCTCTTTGAGCTAGGGGGCAACGGCGACCTTTTTGGCCACCTTGATGATGTCCTCAATCATGTGAGGGGGGTGCAAAGAATGGTTGAGATGTGGTCTCGGTCAGTGTGCCCCGACCTCGATGAAGAGGAGACTGATTCGGGAGGAGAACAAACTGGTCACCTTGCTTATGAGGAACGGTCCATATCTGACGTAGGCACCTCTGCCAGTGACTTTGACAGCACGGGAAATTCCCTGAATGACACAGAGGAGACGGAAATGAGGGAAAGGCGAGATTCTGGAGTTGGGGCATCCTTAACCAGGCCGTGCAGGTTGGTGGAAGTTTTGTAAAGTAGTACCAATATCATAATGGACTGTCCTCTTTGGTTTGTTGTTCAGAAATGCCATTTGGGTTGCAGCTTAGAGTACATGTAGAGTAAAGTCAATCTGCCCTTTGCAAGTAACCTGACTTCTTTGGAGGTCGACGAGCAAGTCTCCAGTGTAATCCTAATTATAATCTACAGTGGTGCACATCACTGGGAGGCAAGGCTAAGCTGGGAATCAAAGTATAGTGATTGGGTTCAGGAGTTTCCAGTGAAGGTTTCTGTTAATACTCCATCATACAAAGACATTGTAGACAATTGTGCACTTCCATCCTTGTGGTAACAGATAGGTGAAGACCCTACAAAGCCATCTCCATGAAGACATGGTGTGACCAGTTTGGTGTGGAGGAGCTTGAGTGTCCTGCGCAGAGCCCTGACCTCAACCCTAATGAACACCTTTGATATGAATTGGATCCCCCTCCAAATTATTGAGCTCAGGTGTCTCTCGTGAAGGTCCTGTTAATACTACACTACATAAGACATTGTAGACAATTGTGCCCTTCCGACCTTGTGGTCACATCATTGGAGGGGCCTACTCCTCTGGGACTGGTGCCTGTGGCTTGCAATGTGATTTCACTGAGGCCAAGGCTGCATACCCACATTTAAAAACATTGTGCTCTTCCATCTTTGTGGCAACGGCTGGGTGAAGACCCTTTTCTGTTCCACTATCACTGTCCCCTGTGTCCAAAGCCAGCTCCATAAAGATATGGTGTGACCACTTTGGTGTGGAGGAGCTTGTGTACGGCACAGAGCCCTGACCTCAACCCTTACTGAACACCTTTTTGGGATGAATTGGAATGCCGATTTGTGACCAGGGTCTTCTCATCCAACAACAGTACCTGACCTCACAAATGGGCACCAATTCTCACGTCCACAATCTTGAGGAAAGCCTTCCTAGGAGAGTGGAGGCTCTTATAGCCATAAAGGGGGAAGTAGCATATTCATGGCCATGGAAGATGGAGGGGGGAAGACGACCCTATATTATTAACCATGGGGGGGGGATGACCCTATATTAATGATCATGGGGGGGACCCTATATTAATGTCCATGGGGAGAACGGACACTCTCTGTTAATGACCATGGGGGGGAGGTCAAATCCAGATCAATGGCCATGGTTTTAAATGAGATGTCCAACAAGCTGATATAAGCATGACGGTCAGGTGTCCATAAACTCTCTTAGAGGTCTATATATAAATGTTTTCACACAAGATAAACACGGCTTTCACTCAAGATTTGCACACTTTTTGTTTTGTAAGGTGGATTCAAATGGAAAAAATGTGTGAATCTTGGATGGAAACATTTTTAAAAAGACCCCTTAGGCATTTCATCTGTGTGTTTAGCTGTTGAGACTTTAGTTTATATAAACCTTACCACAGATAAATACTAGTAATACCGATGAGCTCAATCAATACCATACTCAACCCAACCATACTCAACCCATACGATAACCCAACCATACTCAACCCATACGATAACCCAACCATACTCAACCCATACGATAACCCAACTCCAACCCATACGATAACCCAACTCCAACCCATACGATAACCCAACTCCAACCCATACGATAACCCAACTCCAACCCATACGATAACCCAACTCCAACCCATACGATAACCCAACTCAACCCATACCATACCCAACTCATACGAGGGCCCCATGTTTTTCGGTCTATAGTATCTATGTTTGTGTTGATTATTCGCTGTCAAAGGTCTATGGTAATACTGCTTCATTAGAATTGTGTCCTCCACCCGTGACAGCTTTTACTTTGTATCATTTCTTGCATGCTAAAATACTACGTCCCGGGCTACAACGGACGCATTGTAGACGTGTATAAAGAGAGCGTTTGACACATTTTTTTTTTTCTTCAAAAGATTCTGTTAAACATTACAGCCCGGAATTCTTCGAATTCCAATGATGAGTGTGTGGAGCTGTTTACTGGGACCTTCCTGGTGGAGGTTTAGAACTGATGCAATGCTTTGTCAGATCAATGGAGGATTGATTGTGCGAAGTGGAAAGGAGGTGCCCCTGCAGGGATGGGTGGCCAGTCGTGTTCTGGTTCTTCTGATTTTATTTTTACGGTATTTTCGTACCTAGATATCGAAGAATCTTCTCTAACAAGGGCTCGGCCTCTAACAGGAGTTGGACATCGACCTCCATGAAAGTACATGGTTGCTGGTGGCTGCCTCATTTGACCAGATTTGATTGGGTTCAGACTCTTAGACGAACTCGATGCATTTCCGGGGTTTTAAAGGGTCCCCCTTCATCAGGGCTTGGTTTGATTCAGATGCTTAGAAGAAGCTAATGCATTTGGGGGGGTTCAAAGGGTCCCCCTATTTAGGGCTTGATTTGAGTCACACTCTTAAAAGAAGCCAACGCATTTGGCTGGTTCAAAGGGTCCCCCTTCATCAGTGCTTTGATTTGATTCAGACTCTTAGAAGAAGCCAATGCATTTGGGGGGTTCAAAGGGTCCCCCTTCATCAGGGCTTGATTTGATTCAGACTTTTAGAAGAAGCCAATGCATTTCCGGGGTTCAAAGGGTCCCCCCTAATCAGGGCTTGATTTGAGTCAGACTCTAAGAAGCCAATGCGTTTTGGGGGTGCTCTTTATTCATTAGAGCGTGCTACTGATGAGTTAAGTATGCACTGGAGTGATAGAATTGGGGGAGATCCTGAGGATTAGTCTCATTGATCCAGATGCGGGTTAAGGAACGTGATCATCACACTAACTACCCCTCGGGATCCCTCCAGTTCTATCAGTCCTGTGCACACTTTATTCGACAGCCCTGATGAAGGGGGACGCTTTAACCCTTGAGATGTTGATTTTATTCAGGCTCTTTATAATAAACCAAGCCCTGATCAGAGGGGTGGGGGCGTGCGCGGGGCTCTTTGGAACTCCGAAACGTGCTGGCTTTTTAGAACGTGAGAATCTGATTAAAATCAAATATCTGGACTACCTTTGAGCATTTTTGGCATACCTGGTCCCTACTCGAGTTGACCTTTTGGCCACCTGGTTGGGTGGGACACTGGCCAGAGCCTCCCAGGTTGCTAAGAGCTGGGTCGGGAGATGTTTCAGGTCCATACACCTCTCCCTGTCTGGCTCTTAGCAACCAGAGTGGGAGGGCAGATGTGAATGTGGGCAGGACGCCAGCAAGTGTCTCAGGTTGCCAAGAGTAGGGCGGGAAGATGTGTATGGCCCTTAAAACATTTCCCCGCCCAGCTCTCGGCAACCTGGGACACTGGTCGGCGTCCCGCCTACATGCACCTCTGCCCGCCCTCTTTGGTTGCTAAGAGGCATATGGGGAGAGGTGTACAGCCCTTGGACAGCTCCCCATCTGGCTCTTGGCAACCTGGGACTCTCTGGCCGGTGTCCCACCCATCACTGGTCACTGGTTGCCAGGAGCTGGCCGGGATGCAGGGCAGAGCTTCCTTGGTTGCCAAGAGCTGCGTGGGATGCCGGGCAAAGTGTCCCAGGTTGCTAAGAGCCCGGTGGGGAGGTTTGTATGGCAGAGGGGTGTGGGAGAGAAAAAGTCAGCCTTCTCTGTGGGTTGGCAAACATTTGCTGTCCCACAGAGCGGTGTGTCCCCCCCCCCCCCCTTCAAGTGGCGCCCAGGGCATGTGCCATTAAGCATGTGCCATTAAATTTATATGAAGACATTTCACCCTTGACAACTGGTGTCTGAACCAAAAGGTGGTGGTGACAACACCCGCTCCATTATGTGCTTGGGTCCAGTGATCAGCCACCGGTTCCAAGCACTGCATCAGGAGGTCACATGCTCCTCCGTACCTGGAAGTACTGGGCATTTTTAC